CTATATACCCACCTCTATACACCCATGCCTATATACCCACTTCTATACACCCATACCTATATACCCACTTCTATACACCCATGTCTATATACCCACTTCTATACACCCATGTCTATATATCCACCTCTATACACCCATGTCTATATACCCACTTCTATACACCCATGCCTATATACCCACTTCTATATACTCATTCCTATATAACCACCTTTAAACGCCCATGTCTATATACTTATTCCTACATGTTCACCCTTATGTCCCACCTCTAAATAAACATACCTGCTCCTCCTATAGACTCTCTAAGAGAGGGACTGCTTTTTTTTTTTCATAAAGGGTCCATAACAGCAGTCTGTAACAGTCTGTGACTTAGTAACATTGTATGTTGTATGGGGGCCAGGTGGTAGTGGCACACATCTTTAATCCCAGCATTTGGGAGGGAGAGGCAGGCAGATCTCTGCGAGTTCAAGGCCAGCATGGTCTACAGGGAGAGTTTCAGCACAGGTTCCTAAGCTACACAGAGAACACCTGTCTTGAAAACCAACCCCCACCAAAAAAAAAAATCTTTGTATAGTTGTATGGGAAAATAAACCCAAAGTGATACACATGTACAAAGGCACGTGAATATGTGTATATACATTACATGCACACAGTATTAGCTTTTTTTGTCACTGTGGCAAATGCCCAAGAGAGCACCTTAGCAGGATAGAGAAGTTGCTTTGACTCAGGGTTTCAGGCCATCTCTACCTGTCCTTGTCGCTATGGGCCTGCGGTAAGGAAGAGCCATCACCGCAGAGGAGAGCAGTGGGGATGAAATGCTTATTTCATGGAGGTCAGGATGCAGACAGAGATAGGAAGAGAGAGAGAGAGAGAGAGAGAGAGAGAGAGAGAGAGAGAGAGAGAGAGAGATTTCAGGGGGCTTTAGCCTACTGGGTGTTATCACCCACATCCAAGGAAGGTCATGGCCCTCCAGTTAATGGACTATGGAAATCACCTCACAGACATGCCCAGATGGGCCCTTTATTGATCTTTTAGGCAACTCTCAATTTAATCAGACTGACAATCAAGATCAGTTATCAGATATATATTAACAATTCTTTGTACCTGTTAGAGGTCTAGGTAAGCCAGAATTCAAAAGCAAACCAAAGCAACAGAACTATGGCCTCTGGTCTGAAGCTGACACATGGCATTTCCATAAGACATTTGGGCACACAGTCATTGTCAAACATCTATGAATTCTCAATGCTTGTTCTCATGGTGTAAGAAAGGGCCGGCTAGCTAGAACAGAGCCAAATGGGCAATAGAGCCTTTAGTGTCTAAAACGTTAGCCATTTGACATGTCATACAAAGGCTGCCAGCCTCACATGGAATCTCTGGCCATTGGTCATGGCTATGACTGTAAAGTGCATGCCGTGGATATAAGTTCCAGTTATCCAAGTTAGGATGTCAGCTCCAGGTCTTGTGTATATTCTCTTTTGGCTGCTGACAGGCACCAAGTGTACTTAAACAGCAAGAGACCAGGGGTTCTTAGAGTCCTTCTCATGTGGGCACTAAAGTAGACGTTACCTTATGGTGATGTGATTTCATACCAAAGACCCCAAATCTAAAGACTGTCATGATAAGAGCTAGGATTTCAAGACAAACATCTAAAGGGGGACATGTCCAGTCTGTTGCATTAAGATTCAGAACCTATTTCTGTGCCACTCACTCAAAAGACCGAAACACTACCGTGTATGCACCCGCGTTTTCCTCTCATGCAGGAGCTTAACTTCCATTATATCGGTTTAATAGTATTAAGAGGCTACAAGCTTCATCTGACTGTGTCTGGAGACAAGACCTTCATGATCCAGGGTAGATCATCACCCAATCTTACTGGCTTTACAAGACATACACACAATTACTATGTTCCTGTCCCTGGCCAATGCAATGCTATGGGCTGCCACAGATTCTTAGTATATTAGGGCAAGCTAAAGCCTCGCTGAATGTGTGGATGGGATAGACAGTGTTAAATTGTATCCCTGCGACCAATCCAAACACCCCGCCAGTAGGAGTCCTGGGTGTCTTGGGGTAATATGTACCTTATTGTACACGAGAGAATAAATAATTGTTTCATGCTCGAGTTACCGTCTTTCCTAACAGCCCACCTGATGCGCCCTGGCTAACCCCAGCCTGTTCAGTTTCCAGGGAGAGTCCATGTGAACTGTGTGCCTTGCGAGCAGATCGCAAACTAATGCCATCTTAAAGCGTCTCCATGCTCCTGAACTCTTCCGTGTTTAAAACAAGTGAAACTGTATTAGATGCCATGAACTTACCTGCACTATTAAAGTAGTACTGTTGTCCTGGGTATCCAACATTGGGGGAAAAAACACCTAAACACAAAGAAAACCAAGACTTTAACAGTGGTTAAAGGTTTACACAGCGAATCTTTCCAACAATCAGACAGTTCTTCATGAGAAAGCCCAGGGTCACCTTAAATGATTTCTAAACAACTGTTAAAACAAACTTCATTTGTTTGGAGCCAACCTTTTAGGGAACAGTGTGTGTGCACACATACATGTGTGTGGATGTGTGTGTGTGTGTGGATGTGTGCGCGCGCTTGTATGACTGTGTGTGTGTGTGTGTGTGTGTGTGTGTGTGTGTGTGTGTGTATGTGTAGATAGGTATCAGTGAAACCCTAATTTACATGCACTGTGGTTCCTTAAAGGTTCTAGGTGACTTCAGGTGATTTTTGCTTCACAGGGCACCAGGCTTGGGCTCTGAAGCCATTGTAAAAAGCAGATATGCTGTGATGGGAAAAAAAGCCTTCTCCCAACAAGGGTATTAGGAGAGCTATGTTCCCTATCTTTCCTAAGCGACTTCCTTTGGCACAGGTGAACCAGACGGAGAGAGGCCGAGGCACACTCCCAGGATGACCCACGAAGCAGCAGAATTCACATTCCTGGCTGTTTTCTACAAGTTCCTGTGTCATCTCCGTTCTAGGCCATTATGCCCTTTCTCTGCTCTCATTAGAACGCAGTCTGCAGGCTGTTTCTCAAACCTAATTTTCCTCTGTGGCACTTAAAAAAAAAAAAGCTGTTATAAAAATGTCTGCACAGAAAACAGTAATGGTCTTAAGGAAGGTTTAAATGTTATCATTGTGGAGAAAATCCTTTTTTGAAAATTAAACCCATCAAGTGTCTAAATTTTTCAGTTCGTCCGCCTTAAGATCCATTACATCTGAAGGCACAGAGACGTGGATCAGGATGAGACGCTCCCCCTTCTCAGCAGTAGGCACCGGGCAGGCGCTGTGCAGCAATGCTGAGAATGTGGCAGAGCAGGGCACTGACAGTGAAGGTGGCTCCTGTTGCCTCCTCCAAGCACACACAGGCTACGGGACGGGGGAACGAGCAGAAATGGGACTCTGTGTAGATGCAGCACAGCCTGTAAAAATTACCGCAAAGTGAAAACAACCTGCCAATAAAGGCAGCGGAACAGGGCCCAGAAAGCTTTCAAACACCATGAATATTATATGGTTCTCTAGAACAACAGTCATCGGCACACAGTGTGAAAACAAATTATTTATGGTTCACAAAAAGGTAAAATAGTCTCAGAAGATTTCCCATGAATAAAAGATGAAATATTAGAATGTGCACCGTCTATAAAACAAGTGTTTGCAAAATAGCTGCCTTACAAGTCAAAATCAGTACAGTATTTTATATTAAAGGGTCTAAATGCATTCACTACTAAATAAAACATTTTCATTGAACATCAATATGCAAGGGGAACGGACAAAGGAAAAAAAAGCAAAGAAAATAAAAAGCAGGGACCAAACCTCAAGATATAAATTACATGACTTGGCTTCCCGAGAATATAATGTTTTACCTACCAAGAACCTGAACTCTTCAAATTACTGGCCCTGTACTCCAGTCTAGGTTTGATTTCCTTCTGTTAACCTTGCCAGGCCTGTCTATTAATTTCGAGGAATTTAATAGAAAAATGCATTATTATAAACTCACATTTTCAGAAAAATTGCAGAGAACACATTAGGGCTGAGGGTAAAAGTCTATACCAGCATTTGTTCCTTAAGAACACCTCAGAACTGAAATTTGGGCTTGAATTCTTTGCGGAGCAATGTGAGGGCCTACAATAGCTGTCTCGTTATCTGTCGGTTTAAAAAGAACTCTGAGTCTATCAGGACATTTCTAAAGTGAACCACGAGGAATCCTGGGGCTGCTCCTGTGTACATGAACATGAACTTCTAACTGCTATCAGGGCAAGTGTATCACTCTGTACCTGCACATGTCTCCATGATTTTCTTCAGAGGCCCCTGAGTGTACATCAGTCCAACAAGGATGCCGGCCAGGTGCCCAGCGAAGGACGTCCTAGGAGGGAAAGGGATCCGTTTGAGTGTTTGTTCTGTTGCTGATTAGAGACATTCTGTCTTCTCATTAGCCCAGCACGTGCCAATTAGTCACAGTCTGCACGCTTCGTTCCACAGTGAGCCTTTTATGCTGAGTCGCGTTTCACTCAGTCCAAAGAACAACGTTTCCTACCTTAAAAACAAAACCCCACACCAGGACGACGAATAATAACGCTCACACATTTAAAACGCATCATCCTTCCTTAACTGAAACAAATCTGCTTGCTTCTTCACAGTGGACATCTTTGGTGACGACAAGCAATTAAATTACTTCCATTTCGTCCCTGGACCTCTCATCATCACAAAATATCAATGGAGTCAGTGTTGTCCGCTCAGAATTCAATCTGGATGGCCCAGCCATTGTGAGGGCCAGTGTCTATCCATGTTCACGGCATAGCAGACAGCTGTGTGTTTATTCATGACCGACTAGTAGAACAATCAGCCACCCAAACTCAGGACAGATGCCTCCAAGCACTGCCTCCTCTGTTTGTTCTCATAAAGACCTTTTGGTCACTCAGCACAAATGACAGTTAAGAGACGTCAAGCTTGGAAGATGGGTTGTGCATTGAATGGGTCTACTCTTCCGGAATTACCGTGGAAGTCTGGCAATCTCTTATAAAACGTGTTTTCAGATGCACACATCTATCAAGACAGCAGTATTTCTAGAGGCCTGTGGTACTTCCAGGTTGGTTGTGGGCTGGGAACTATGTCTGTGGCATTCACGCGGCCCAAGTTTAGGAATAACTAGGGATTCACTGAGCCGCACATTTTCCTACTAAGATGGCCGAGTTCCTCGCATCGAGTACCTGATGGATCCTCAGCGGCGGGCATCATATAAGCACATACGAATGCGCACATACCCCTTTATCCTAACTTGCTCTTGAGTCTCATTTCCACACAGTGGGTAAGCTCCAGCTTGTGAGGATTGTTACGCCCAGTGCAGCTTTTGTACCCCTTCCCACGCCAGCTACGCTTGTCCTTATGGGTTCCTGACTGAACTCTTTGGAAAAGTCCAGCACTGGATCCAAGGTGAGCACCAGACGAGTGCATGATGAATGAGCAAAAGCAAACCAGGTAATCTGCCACCTGGAGCTTCGCTCCAACGACTCCCACAAGTGTATACAGCCAGAGTGCAAGCCGTGTGACGGACCTCTACTGGTTTACTTACAGAACACAAAGCACGCCCGTGACTCCACTTCCTGCTTCATTCATCTTGTCCCTTTAGCGTCAGGACCCACCACACTCATCTCCACACATCCTCACCCTCTCTGTGGCCTGGAGTCCCAAGTTTATCAGTACCTCTGTCAGAAACCAGGACCTCCCTCCTCCGCGGCCTGCCGTCAGGGCTGTTCCTCTACTTCACTGTACCACATGCCCAGCTATACCCACTGGCTGAGAAGACTATTGCTTTCATCAAAGATCTACCTTGTGGAATTTATAACCTGATAATAAAAATACGGGACTGGCTCAGTGTTTTCCATGTTATGGGAAGGACAGGAGGAACTGGGCTTTTTATTGCGGTGCCCCCTCTCCTGTACCACATTTATGTTCTTATTGTATTCTCTATTCAACCATCATCATCAACAACAATAACAACACAAACATCTCCACCTCGAAGTGAGAAAGTGATAGCTTAAAGGGGAAAAACAAAGCTTTGATTTAAAAAGAAATTGACTTCAGTTTAACTACAAAGAACTTTACTTTTAAAGAATCAGTAATTCTGAAACCTTTTAAACCAAGCTTCACGGTGAATCATACAGATGCAAAATAAAACGGGAAGAGTTTCCACATAAAATCCAACCTATTAGACAATTAATCTTAAATCTCATTTACAGTTTGGAGCATTATACGGCAAAATGAATTCCTTATCTTTATAATGGGGTTTCAGAAGTGTGAGTTATAATCTAATTGCTCTGATATAATTAAAATAGCAGAGGGGAACACAGTGCGTCCTGCTCCCTTCCTGAACAGTGCCACAAAGCTCCTACCACAAAAAAATCAGCTTTGTTATTACTTCATCTATGCTCAGAAGAAGTGTTCGCTTTTAAAATAAAAAGAAATGATCTTGATCAGAACTAGGTATCTCACAATTACGCACAAAAGGGGGGGGGGTTCCTACAGAAAATGGGGAAAGTTCCCCATGGAAAAGGAAGGACAGCTTGTTTTAAAGAGTACCATGACTCTTCCTGGCAGCTGGTAACCATTCACTAGAACGCCTCCCTTTCCTCGAAGATACAGGTGTCCTGAATGTAAGAGACTGAGCTAGGAGCTACCTTTAGACACAGAATGAAACCTTGGACTTTGGAGGGATGACAACTTTCAAATGTATCTGCCCTATTAGAAAACGCAGAGGGTTATGACTATCTTAGTAACTGTCCTCAGTACTAAGACAAAATACCTGACCAAAGTAACTTAAAGGAGGAAGGGGAGGCTTGATTTCTGCACATCCCTCGACGGAACAGCCTCATGAGAGCAGGAGATCGAGGTGACTGGTCACACTGTATCCACAGTCAGGAGTGGGATGGAGTCTTTGTCTTTCTATCTCAGGTAACCCAGATAATCCTTCACAAGCAGGCTTATCTCCTGGTTGTCTAGAGCCTGGCAAGTTGGTAATCAATATTAATCCATCACAAGTCTGCTCCCTGTCGACTTGACACTCAAATGTGTTAGTTTTAAATCAAAGCCGTCCTCCTCTTGTCCCCTTAGGTCATTTAGTACTATAGAATATATTTTGTCCCACTCGGAAAGTCCGCCTAGGCTTTTGATTCCAACACTGAGACTCCAGGCGATCCCTTGTCCCGTGTCTCCCCATAAAATAAAAACAAGTGTCACACTTCCAAGACACAGTGGCACAGGGCACGCGTTCGCATCACTGCTGTAATCTCAGAACATGGGAAGGGCACTCCTGAGTACCCCAAATGGCCTCAAGCCAGTCCAAACAGCATCTTTGCTCCCTTCGAAATCTCCTAGGCTGGGTCTCCACTGCACATATTTCTCTTCCGCATCCTTGTATTTTAAGCACCCACCACAATGATCTGTAAAGTCCTGCTGACAGTGCCCAAGACTTTTCTAACCCCAAAGCCAAAATCTTCCGCAGTCCTCCTTCAAGCAAGTTTCTGGGAAACCCATGGTCTGGCTTAGCACTGCAATGGATCCACTTCTCAGCATCAGTTTCTATAGTAGTTACTTTTTCTAACACTGTGATAATAAAAAAAATGGACAAAAAAACTGAAAAATGGGAGGACTTATTTGGCCACAGTTTTGAGGGTCCAGTCCAGCATGGCTCCAGAAATCACGTGGACAGTGTGAAGCAGTTGGCTGCGATGTATCCACAGTCAAGAGCAGACAGGAATGAAGGCTGGTGCCTAGCTCCCTTCTGTTTGATTCACTTCAAGACCCCAGCCCAGTTAAGGAGAGTCTTTCTACCTGAATTAACCCGACCTAGACAGTCCCTCACAGGCATTTTCAAAGGCTAACTGAATCCACACAGTCCCTCACAGGAGGGTTCAGAGAAAAGATCTTATCAATGTGTCAACCAGTACAAACCATCACAATGACTATAATTGTAAATGTTCAACAGAAACTTTGATCTCAAGGCTCGCTATTTGTTTTCAGCTATGCGTGGATATTGACATCAACAACCTGGCATGAAAGACACTGATTACAGCAGAAGCATCTCAGAGCCTAGTCTGATGCCAAGGTGGTTGTACATAACAAGGTGGTTGTGGGGTAGTACCTCAATCTCAAAATTTGGGGGCCAGACACAGGAGGATGGCCATGAGTTCTAGACCAGCCTGGGCTACAAAGTGAAATCTTGTCTCAAAAATACACATAAAACAATAGTGACCAAAACCATTCCTTAGTAATCAAATTATTGCAAAAGGTAGCCATTTATGCAAAGTATTTGAGTTTATTCATTGTCCAAATTATTTATTTTGTCATTGTTTCTTCAGTGGTATCATCCATTTCTGGGGTCAGTTTTCTTCTTGTTAAAATGTAACTTTTAGAGATTCTTTCAGCTATTGTCTGAAAAGGAAAAAAATCTTCTTAGTGTCTGGGTGTTCTAAAGGGTCTTTATTTTAGCTCTTTGATGTCAGGTATAGGATCCACTGCTGCTGGTAAGAAATGGAGGCAGCCTCCTCCTCCATACACAATCTGTCTTTCCTTCCAGCTTTTAAGCTGGACAGGTGCTCGCAACACTGCCATCACTCGCGTTTCACATGTGAGTGACGTAACCCGCTTACAATTTCCTGTGCTTTTTGATATATGTCTCTCTCATGTGTTTCTCTAGTTAAAAAAAATCCCAGCCATGACCAGTTTGGGAGCTCTGTAGCTGTTGTGCACTTGCTGACACACATTTACATGGGCACGTGAAGGGAAGAAACAAAAAATAAAAGACGAAAAGTTAAAATCAATGCTACCACAGATGGCTCACTAGAATAAGGATGGTGGAAGGGCAACTTCTGAGAAAAACTGAGACACCACGGAGTTCAGTTTTGTAAACGGCATGCAGAGATCACTAAAACCAACAAGTTCCTGCCTCTGGCGGGAATTGCCTTAAACTGACTGTCACCTTTTCAGAGGACATTTGTAAGGGTGAGTTAACTTGTTATGTAAAAACACTTCTGTTCTCACGTGCCACTGTTAAAGTATCCAGATCTGAAACAGGGATTGAAAGAAAGGTCCTCCTCTGTGAAGCGGCTAATTCTCCCCAGAGACGAAGAGCGGGTCCTCTCAGGCATGGCTCAGAAAGCAGGCAGTGCATGACTGCAGACAGTGTCTCCTAGTGTGAGCAGAACCGATGACCTCATTAAGGACAGGGCTTAATGGAGACGCGGTGTTGGCCATGAGAGGGGAAGATGCAAGGGAAGGGGCCTGAGTACTTGCCATAATTTCTTCCTGTAAAAGCTATTAACACCAGTTGGGGACTGAGCTGCTCAGAAGCTCTGGGGCTTGGGGAAC